TTACAGCTAACTAAATGTGAACTGCTTAACCTTGAGTTTTCTTCCACTCCTCTCTGTACATGCATTTCATACAATATGTGTATTAAAACTCTCCCTTGCACTGGTTTCTCACAGTGCTGCAAAAAAAAACATTTAACCCTGGAGATATATTTCAAGAAAGAGAATACGTGCAAGATATATAAACATACAAGTTAATTTGACCAAGCCAAAACAAGATGAAGGCTGCACGATTAGAGACTATTGTGTCACTCTGCAACTGAACATGGACATTTATTGCTCATGCAAATGCTACTTTATTTTGTTCTAATTCTTTCCTGGTGAAGGAAATTTGACAACAGTGTGCTGTACTCGTTTACCCGTTAAATATCCAGGAACAATGTGAGGCTAACCCACAGAGAAAGCAAAACGCTTTGTCACAGGTAGCAGGTCACTACATTTCTTAGAAAGCAATTTCTGGATAATATTTAACACCTACTCTTTTGTTGCACCTGATGCCAATAAAAGAAATATATGGTCTTTTGAAGATAACCTGTCTGAAGGGTCATGTAGATATTTATCTAAAGTCAGTCTTAATTCTGCATATTCAAGTTATTGCCAGTAACTACTACAGTAACCGGTGGTTTTCAGGTCATTCAAAATTCTGTTTAACTGTTTGCTAACAACTTGTGAATGTTAAATATTTACACTGCTCTGGACTTTCCACTCTTTCCTGTATATGGTTTTTAGCTGCTTAATGCTCCACTGTGCTCACTAGCTAGTCACTTTGTCTGTCAGCTGCTGCTGAGCATGTCAGTGAATCTATCAGTGTGTTGATGGGAGCTGTGAGACTGAATCAAATGTATTTCTACACTAATACAAATTTCAGTTGACAAAAGAAGTTGAATGTTAAGTTTACCTAAACTTATCTAAAATGTATTGAAAAGTTGAATTAGAAACTGTAAGAGTAGTAAGAGCATTCAATGCAAGCTTTCAGTACAGAGTTCAGAGTTTTTAGTGTTTGTTGCTGGCACCCAGCCTTAGGTGGAAAAGTCCAAAACATGTCATCTGAGACAGATATTTGCAGTCTTCATCAGCAAACACACCTGTGTTTTGAAAGACATGTTCCTTCTGCTCCTGTGTGGGACTCTTTTCTTGCCTCTACTGCTGAATATCTGACCATTAGCCTACCGCCTGCTCTCGCTATGTGTGTGTTCACTCCTGCAAACATTCTGACCATTCATGCCTTTACAGTCGAGATTTTGTGTCTTCTCCTGTCCCACATGTTGGTTTATTGTCAGTAACAACTAAGACATTTCTCCAAATATCAGACATGGACCTGCAGTTAAATTTTTTCTGCCAGCACCTGTCCAGAGCAAAGTGAAAACTGCCTGCTGCTGAGAGATTTCCGTTGGGTCCCAGTGGATCCCAATCCCAATGCAGTCCTCTACCCTCCACCTCTGGCACAAGGACAGGTTGATCCAAAGAATGTAGAGTGCATTTGTGAGTAGTACGGTCTAGACATGCTCTATTTGAAAACTGTGATAACTTTTGTTATGAATTGCCGCTATACAAATAAAACTGAATTAAATTGAATAGAGCTTTACGCAAATGAAACCCACCCAGTGCAACACAGCAGGCTCACGAAACTCAGATCAAACTGTAAAACTAGGAAATGCTAATCAAATATGCATCAAAATTCTGTTACTACATTGTCTATTCCTTGCTTCAGATGTTTTCAGAAACATATTTTAGTGTACTGTTCACCCATAATATGTAAAAGTTTCTCAGCCAGCCGCCAAAGCGGAAAAATCCAAGCACCAACCCACTTGCAGTTTTGTCAACCACTAGCCGGGGCGTTCAGTGGTCTGGTGCATCTAGATGCGTACTCGCTGGATTCTGTGCATCTGTAGTTGTTGAGGTCTGCGTTGCAATGGCGCAGAGTCAATACAGAAGTATAAATCAGACTGAACTCTGTCTTTTAACTGCTGCATACTGTTACTGTTTACTAACAAGGAATATTTAAATGTAGACTTGCAGAAGAAAGGATTACTCTGGACAAGGAATATAACATTTCTCTTCTTTTACTGTTGAGGATGGAAACCTTACATTCCATATAATGCTACAGTCTGGATGTTCTAACCCTAGTGCAGACAAACAGTTCAGGTCTACACCAGAGCCAGCAAGCAATCACTAGAACAGCATGTACCAAGCAGAACTAGCCTCTAGCTGCCACCTACGTAGTTCCAGTAACAAGATAACATTACCATAATACATTTTCATTTATATTGTAATAATCCCCAACACAGCCGACATATTAAATAATATAGGGCATAGGAACAATAATAGTATCAGTACTACAATATGTTTGGAAAGATCTCATTGTCTGACACTCTGTTTAGTCTCGCCCATCCATCTTTCTTATGACTTTTAATAGCTTATTATGTCTGTGTGGCTGTTTATTTTTGTCTCTTTTAGCCTCTTGTCCACCCTGCTGCCTCACTCGCTATGTGCTTACACAGGGTCAAAGAGCTCATGGATCATTGACACCTGTCAGATACTCACTTAGCTGGATTAACACAAACTTTTAATTTGGTGCCCAAGTATTGATCAAGTTTGATTTCGGTCTGAGTCTACAAGGTCTCAGGTGACTCGGGCAGCTGAGTTCTGGTAAAATGTCCCAACTCAGTAATCAATTGCAGATTGTGATTTTCAGATTGACACAGTCACAGAACACTGCAGGTGCATACTGATGAATAAGTTTTCTTTTTGGAGTTTGAACAAAATGTATGGACACTCAACTGAGACCAAAGTTAGTTTTATTTGAGATTCTTATAAAAATGTTTAATAAAAAATAAGCACACAACACACAGTAACACACAGTAGCATGTTTAATCACTGCATGCTTGACATGTGATTCATGACTGCAACATGGTAAGAAAAAAACCTGAAAGAAATCCCAAACCAGTCCCACAAACTCAAACTATGTTTCTATCTATGTTACATTTACATACATATAAAGTAATATAAATGTATTTCTCCCGATACAATAACTAAAAAGCATTTTAAATGATAGCATCTCCTTTACAACAGATACACATTATGTAAACATTTTATTGTATGACAGAAGATTGTATTATCATGTTTTTAAAGTAGATTTGGACATTTCGATTGATTTGTATTTCTACTTTGAGAATAGCAAGATAGGAAACTCTAAGGATATGGTGTGAATCAGTATGAGGATCAGCAGAATTCAGCACAGCCTTGAGGTCAGTTGTCCCAAAAATCAGCTAATCAACCAGAATAGGAAAACGTGTTTGATGTTGGTGGTCAGAATTCCCTGATTGTCCAGGAGTCCGTCAATGACAGAAGAATAAGGTGGGTTCACTGACACTGACATTTCATCACAGGTCTTTTCCCAGATTGTGTATCTCGTCTAATACAAAGTCCATGTCGAGCCTGCTGGCCTGTGGGCTGATGACGATCATCCTGAAGAAGTTGGCCTTGTCTCTGTGCGGCTGGTAGCCCACCATCATGCTTCCCTTCTTCATCATGCGTTCTTTCACCACTGGGGCGACCTACAGGAGGAGGGACAATACGCTGCAATGACTGACTGCAATGTGAAGAAACAAAAGAGAGGATTTGGTCACCTCCTTGTGTCAACATGTTAAAATATAATGAAGTACGTACAGTGTGGAGTTTTTTCCATAGCTCAGGGCCATCTGGAAGGTTCCTCAGACTTGGTGGACTGTACCAGAAGCAAACATTTGCATATTCAGGCTGTAGACATAAGGGGACAAAAGTTCAAAGCAGGACTCCATATAAAAACAGATTATATAAATATATATAATTAATATGCAAAATTTGCAAAATAACTATTTTTTGTGTAAAACTGTGGATAAATGTACCTCCATCACCAAACGGAACCCTTCTCTTCTCTTGATCTCTTCTGCAAGATATCTGCAAAAAAAGCACATTTCAGTTTATATGCTGCTTTGGCAAGTGTTAGTGCTGAATTTTAAACACATTTAAACATAATTATAAACATTCTCCGAACTGTGGTTATTTATAGTGTACTGTCCACAATGTGACGTCTCTGAATCTGCCCCAGGAAGTAATTTGATGTCCAACAACAACTTATATTTCAGTCAGTGCGTTATGTGTTGTTTTACGTTGTTAATGTTTGCTGTGAAATGAGTGCATATTCAACCTTTTCCTCAGTCAGCATGCATATTGATAATAAATGTAGAGTTACTGGGGTACCCTGATAGCTCACCTGAGCCTTCTCCACATGTACCAAGGCTGAGGCACTGCTGCAGCGGGCATGGGTTCAAATCAGACATGTGGGAAAAGTTTGCTGATGCTATTTCACTAGAATTCAACTTGTATCCCTTTTTATTAGCTAAAGCTACATTTTAAGTGGCACAAACATAGTTTTATAAGTTACAGGAACATTCCTTATTAAAAACTTTGTTACTAGGTATTTTGTTCTCACACTACAAAAAACATTACAAAACTAAGTCAGTGTCACTTAACATTTCTAACGCTACCTTATCAAGAATGTTTTTTTAATTAGCAAAATGTAGTTCTTTTTTTTTTTAATTAATGTAATCAGTTTCAACAATTGTTTGAGATAAACAAACATATCTGGTTTTACAGTTAAGTTTAACAGTGTCGTAGACATCAGGCCTTCCTGTCACTGAGTGTTAGCTGCAGCCCTGCTACGCGTCCGTCTCCTCAGACTGACCTGACCGTGGCGAGGGCTCTGTCTACCCTCTCCTCCAGCTCTACGGTTCCCAGAGCCTTCCACATCAGCCAGAACTTGAAGGCGTCTGGCTTCCTGCTGCACTGGACGGACTTGTCCCCTGTGTCGTAGCTGACGTCATAGAACTTATCCTGCTGGAAGAGGTAGGAGGCGGAAGAAGAGTGGCAGCGCTGGAGGAGATTCTGAGGAGGCACAATGACAAGGATGGTTAGGTTAGTGTGGGAACTGCTAGCCTGGCTGTGTCTCTAACAAGAGATGACGTGTTAATCAGTAAGCTTTTCCTGGTACTGGTAAGTAGATTTTATTACCATTGGACAGAGTAGCTGTTTCCAGTCTTAATGCTAAGCTAACTGTCTCTTGAGAATGGTTTTGATCTTCTCATCTTGGCAAGAAAGCAAATACTCATATTTCCAAAATTTCAAACTATTCCAATAAAGGGCGGCAGATTTTTGCTGTTTCGTATAGAGTATGTCAGCCGCACATCTGTCTGCTGTCCTTCAGATTTGACGCTACCTGCCTCTGACAGATCTGTCTCCAGCTCTCTGACAGGCCAAACTGCTCAGTCAGCTCACCTTCAGTCTGGTAATGAGAGACTACAAGATGGCCCTACACTGAAGTGAACTATGCCTGCCAGGTCTGCCCAAGGCACAGAATCATCAGGATTATCTGTCCTCCATCTGGCAGAAGAGCGAACACACATACTTCTCTTTGTTACTGCTTAATGATATGCTGCTTACATTCACACGTACAAGTTAGACTGGGTAGACTGGAGTTTCATTTTCCTTCACTTGGTGGTTCAGAGACGATTTATGGGAAAGGAATAACCATATTTTTGTGCCATAATTTCATATCCTCATCATATTTTAAGTCACGCTAGTGGTGTGGGATATCCATGGTCATCAGATGATGTATCCTAATAACTCTAGTGCCAAGTCAAAATTTTTGTTTGACCAATACTTTATTTTACTTTATTATTTCAATTACAAAAAAAAAGAATAACTAAGTTTGTGTGGAGCAGATGAGCTATCAGATGATAAGTGAGCTTGTCTTACCGTTTTGTCTCTGACCAGGAAAGCAGAGCACTGCAGACATGCCATCAGCATCTTGTGAGGGTTCCAGGCCACAGAGTTGGCTCTTATCATCACACATAAGCAACACAGCAGAGAGAGAATTTACAGTCAGCATGTTATCACTCAAGCTGAGGGCTTTAAGAATGGAAGAAACAATGTCTCTTCATCATTACAGCTACAGTCACTCCGCTATGAAATGTTCTCTAGCAGGGATGCTGCTTTGCTTTGATCAAACTTTTACCTGTGGATGCCCTTTAACAAGTGTTTATGCTTCTTAGACATCAGAGCTCCTCCTCCCCAGCAGGCCTGAGGAACAGGAGAGAGAAATTAGGCAATTACACTGAAAGCGGGATATGATTGATAGAGGCGAATGAATCAATGAATGAATGATTAAATGAATGCACTCACGTCCACATGCAGCCACAGGTTGTACTTCTCACAGATGTCTGCAATCTCCTGGATGGGATCAAAGGCTCCGAGCACTGTGGTCCCTGCTGTGGCGTTCACCATGAAGGGCACTGCACCCTGAACACACACACATAAAGAGTTTCTCTTAATGGTGTTGCAAATGTCCAAATATATGCAATAAGGTCTATGCTCAAATGAAGCCCTGAACAGGTAAGATGGCTTCCTCACCTCACTTTTAGCTGTCTTAATCAGCAACTCCAAAGCCGAAGGAATCATCTTCCCTCTGAAAAACACACACAATAATTCACTTTGTGATAAAAAAAAAAAACTAATGAGCAGACAGTAAAACAGGTAGTTTTTAATGAATAAATATATTGAGTTCCCACAGAAACACCAAGAGGGATGGAAATAATTCTTATTCAAATCCTTCCAACTGCCAACACTAGTCACGTGTCTGTGTGTACAGAGAAGGAACCGGGATATCAGGCAGGATTATAAAGTGTGTGTGAGAAGCAATTTACCTGTTATCAGATGGAACCATGTAAACGTTCTTAGTGCCGATGCCCATTAAAGCTGCTGCTTTGGAAATGGAGTAATGACACTGAAAGAGATTAAACAAGAGTCTGTCAACAAAAGAAATATGCCAGAGTAGGTATTCATTTATTCAGACACAGCAACCAGGATTCAATTTCTACTTTATGTAAGGGATTGCTATTTAAAAACAGTAAAGGTCTGATAGATTTGTGAGTTAAGATTTATTTCTGTGAAAAATTAGCAAAACCATTTTCTCTCATTAAAGGTCCAGTGTGTA